TTTATTCTTCACACAGAGCTGCAGCTAAATCAGAACTGTATTAGCTGGACACTTGTCTGACTGACAACCCGATTCCGTTGGCTGTTTTCTGATCTTTCAATTTAACTCTACCCATTCACAGAATAAAATGTTATATAAATATTCAGACTTCTCTTGCAGCATTTCTGTAGTCCTTCCAGTCATGAACTGCAAGAGCCTAGAAGTCATGGCCAGGCACACAGCCCAAGAACATAGTGCCCCTTGATCCTATGGCTGATGCATGAGGAGTGAGACAAAGAGAGTTCCACTAACCCTCTGAGATGAAGGCTTTCTGCACAACTCACAGTGACTGTAGTGATTCAGGCTTAGTTTACACATGGTAAGAGAAAGTGTTGTGCATCCAGCTCTTCTTTGCCCTCTCCTTTGGAGGAAAAGAAGAGGCTGAGCCTCCATTTTTCCTAGAAACAGGCTTTCTGCAGAACTTGGGTCCCAGGGAAAAAGGGGATCTTCAGTTGTTGGGTCATGAAAATTCCTTAAAACTGAGCTTTGTGTCTGGCCAGTCTCCTAAAAAAAATGAATGCGTAGAAGATTTTTTTATTTTTATTCCTCAGCACTAAATAGGAGAGTATTTTTCCACTTCGTACACAAGACTCACATTCTGAGCATTCCTTCAGTAACATTCAGTCATAACTTGACAACATTTTTAAATGACAATCTTATTGTTTTAATTACTGTTGTGTAAAGAGATGGAAATATGCATCAGACTCAGTTCCAGCTTAAAAGTTAAGTCTGCAAGAGGCAGCTGTTGCTAGGGCAGGAATAACTCAAGACAGAAGCAGAACATGATTGTGGAGATGTCCTTCCACTTTATCTGATAGGAATAGGTAGGAAAAGACAGTCATCATTTGCTCTTTCCCAGCCCAGGGCCATTCAGAGACCAGAATCATTGGCCATTCTTCAGGCTGGGAAATCCAGTTCATCTGTCCTCTTATGGAACAACTGGGTCACAAATTTTGTTATCTGCTAGTTTGAATTTCTTATACAATGAATGATTCTGAATCACTAGACTATAAGAAAAAAAAATTCCTTTGTAGAAGAAAAGGTTTGGAAGAGACCCAGTAGCTGCAAAAAACAGGGGTGACAGCTAAATAGCTAACTAGTGATGGAAAGCCCAAGCTTAGTAATTTAAGAAAACAAACCCAAGACCCATTTTCTTTAGCAGGTAATTAGTAGTAGCCTCAACAAGGTAAAAAGAGGCATCTTTCTGAAGCAAGGCAATACCACAGCAGGGTTCTCTCAAGATTCCCATTATGGAGTTGTGATGAGGGGCCCCCTTTAAGCTCAGGGAAGGACTGGGACTCTAACATGTTAAAGCTCATGTGCTGAGCTGCATGTTGGATTTCCGACTGTGTGAGTAAAAGTAACATGCACTACCCTGATTTGATCTGCTACTGGGAACACCTTTAGACTTTGTCCCTATTGCTTAAGTAGCAATTACTAACACATTTCCTTACCAGGCACATGGGAGTTTTCTAATATGTTTCATCACTTATACACTGTAACATGTTACAGCACTGTACTCTATTCATATGACTTCTCCGGTGAGATGGCTACATTTGAGATACTCCTGGACCAGATAATTTTTCTATAAAAAGCAGAGAGATTATGGGTAATTATTTCCTGCTGTCCTCTCTGTGTCTTTATTACTCTATTAAACAAACAGACAGTGTTTGGTATATGAGTAAGAAATGTAGTGTAACAGAAAATATGCTAGAAAGGAAATGATTACTAATCACTGTTTTTTGCCCAATACAGCTAAAATGACCTATTTACTAAGCTCATCAGCTGAGCAAACTACTGACTTCAAGATGTGTGAAACCATCCTTGTTTTTTTGGTTCCAAACACAATTTTGTTTTAGTAATGAATTCAAGGAGCAAATATGACCTGGGCTGAAAGAGAAGCACACAAGAACTAGAGTCATCCCACGAAGACATGAATGGGAGGCAGACAGACAAGCCTAAAACATTGTCTAACAGTTTATTAAATAAGCTTAATGATTTTAATATATGGAACTCAAGAAACCATCAGCTAGGTTAACATTTGCCCAGGACATTCCAGTACATGTTAGGAATTAAAATGTAAAACTACTCTTAAAATAAAACTGTACTATTGCTTTGGGCAGCAGGAAGATAAAAAGCTAGCCCGAGCCCTCAAGTGACCAATCAGACGGAAATTAATTACAGACTTAAGGGACATGATTCATTATCTGCTGGAGTTAAAAAGTATCAACTACCTTATGAACACATAACAAACCCCCAGATGGATATGCCTCTCTTATACTCCATTAAAATACTTGGGTGTCTCAGTATTTCCAGGACTGAACATAATTTTTGGACAAATAATCACTATGTGTGCTTTATAGTTAGCACTTGGAGACACACATTCGGTGTTCAAACATTTTGATTCAGGAAGCTTTAATTTTGGGGTGGCTTGTTTTTGCCAGGAACAAGAGGAGGTACTCCTCGAATATCAGCTCATCTGGAATTTTCAAATGGCAAGTTAAAATCATATCTTTACAAGTGGCTTTGGGGATTCCCTTTTACTTTTCTCTGACTCAAGAACAGTGCTAAACATTTCTTTCCCTTAAAAAAAGAATCCCTTTAAACTGAAACAAAATAAGAACACTTTGCCAAGAAAATATTTAAAAATATAGACCTATAAAAAATATTCTTCCATAATTTCAAGTGAAATTATGGCATGGCAAGGAAGAATGGCAAGGAAGAACGACCTCACTCCCAGTAAAAACTAGTCCTAACAGGAAGAAATTACTTACTGGCAATACAGTTATCTGAAACCAAACATATTCTCAGGAAGACAGAATTTAATATTGAATTAATGCTTCAAAATATATCCAGCCTTGACTTCAAAAGTCACAAGACTTGCTTCAAAGAAAAAGACCTGCTATGCAGATCTGCAACTTACACTTAAGTGTGCACACAGGTTATGTCTAATTTGGTAGGTAATTCAGCTCAGCACAAGCAAATAAATAAAACAAGGCAGCTGCCGTAAGGCCCCTGCAACTACAAGAGTTTCTGCTTCAGTCCAAGTTTAGTCTGGGTGGCTGGAGCTTGAATGTTCCCCATCGTGGATATGGTTAGAAGCTGTCCAATGGACCAACCACTGGTGCATCTGGAGATGATTAGCTCTCCCTTAGGATGATGAAGATTTGGTGCTGTTAATCCAAAGACAGGCTTAGGCAATCACAAACCACTCCTGCTTCCTTCTTCTCAGTTTATTGTCCTCTCCTGCTTTGCCCTGCTCCGCTCCAGGACATCATGCAATGGGACGAATAAAGGTCTGCTCTCTTATAAGCGTTTGAGTTTGCTCTTGTGTGCTCACAACAATGGCTGTACCAGCTCAAGGACTGCTAGGTGAAACAAACTCCAGCTGTAGGAGGGAAAAAACCTCCAACACCAACTGAGGCTGACTTTGCCAAGTCACCTCAGGACTCAGGGGCTTTTCCACTCCAGCCCCACTCCACAGCCTGTCATATGCCTCCCAAGGATTTTCAGAGCTCACCTCCTACTGACTCTCCAAATGTGTGGAATGGCGCTTGGTCACAGGAACATTCTAGTACAGGAGTCTTTGGGAGAGGGAGACTCTGCAGCAGTCTTCTGCTGGCCACTGCTCCCCTGAAGATCAGATACTTGTATACAGGTACCTGATTCCTCACCCAGTTCCCACCTTTCCAAAATAATTGCCAACTGACCTCAAAGGGGCAAGGGAAGGCAACAACACAAACCTAAATGCCCCAGAGGAACTCAATCACAATGAAACCTTGAAACCCCCCTGCAAGTTTGAAAATGCTGAGAAACTTCTGCAAGGCATTCAGAAGGGAGCTTGCTTTCTCATCTTTCCCCCACCCTTATGACTGGGTGTAAGGGCTGAGTAAGGTTTGTCAAAGGTCCTGATTCTCAAGGCAGCCAGTGCCCCTGCCAGTGAGGAAGCGAGGACCCTTCTGCAAGCTCCCCTGGCCCACAAGTGCATTCTCTTGCCCAGAGACCTTGGAAGATGAAGATGTTGCACTGGCAAAGGTTCACCATTAATTTATTTATTTATTTCAGGTGTTTGACCAGAAGAAGAGCTATGGGTCAGACATCCTCGTTAATGCCACGTTCAGGAAACCCACCTTTCCTGCAGCCCCACGAGTGCCCCTGCCCCAAAGCCCGAAGCCCACGGCCAGGAAACGCCTTCCCCTGCCTCCGGCTGCGAAGGTCGCGCAGATGGGTGGGACCCCATGGCGCCCAGCGGGACCCAGCGGGGCAAAGGATGGGGGACAGGTGCCGTGCCTGGCCCGGCGCGGGGGCGCAGCGCGGCCGCTCTGGCGTCAGGAGGAGCCGCTCGGTGCCGCTCTTTCCCCCGCCGGCCCGTCTGCCGAGCGTGTGTCAAACCCACGTGCTCCGGCAGCCCGCGCACACGGGGAGCGGTCCCCGCGGCCGAGCCCCACCGCACCGCCGGCCCCGCTCCTCCGCCGGCCCCGCACCGCACCGCGCCGGCCCGCACGGGCACCTCCGGCAGCGGCCGCACCGCACCGCGGCCTGCGCCGTCCCCGCGGCGGCGGCAGCGGGGAGGAGAAGGAGGAGGAGAAGTAGGAGGAGGGCGGTGTTTTCCTGCGCGGCGCCGCGGCCGTCGCCCCGCCGCCGGCGAGCGTCAGGCGAGGGGGGGGCCCGGCCCGGCCCTTCCCCTGGCCCCCGCGCCCCGAGGATGGCAGCGCTGCCCGCACGAGTGGCTGGCGGCGGTGTCCCTCCTCTTTTTTTTTCCGGCAGCGGCGGCGGCGGCGGCAGCGGCGGCGGATCATTGTTGTGTGGGAGGAGGGTGGCGGGGATGGACTTGATCTCTCGGGTCTCCTGCTGAGGCGGCAGCACAGCGCGCCCCGCCGCCCAGCCAGCGCCGCGCCGGGCAGGGAGGGACCGGCCCGGCCCCCCGCCCGCTCCCTGGCTCTTTATTTTTAGGGGGCTCTGCTGCTCCTTTCCCTCGCCCTTATCTCTTCCCCCCCCCTTCTCCCCGCCCGCACACACGCACAGGGACACGCTTGCACCCTCCTCCGGTGCCCTTTCATCCTTCCCCCCCGCCGTCCTCCCGCGCCGGCTCCTGCCGCGGCAGATGCGCCGCGGGTCACCGCGCAGCTGGGACTATGGTGAAATTTCCAGCGCTCACTAACTACTGGCCCCTGATCCGGTTCCTGGTCCCTCTCGGCATCACCAACATCGCCATCGACTTCGGGGAGCAGGTAAGGCAGCGCCTCCCCTGGGAGCGACCCTCTCCCGCCCGCCCTCCCGCAGCGCCGGTCCGGCGGGGCTCGGCGCCTCCGCCGGGAAGGGAAGGGGAGCCGAACCGGGCAGAGCCGAGCCGTGCCCCGCCGTCCTGCCCTGGCTCATCGCGGCGGGCGGGGACTGCGGCCCCATCGCCGGTGGGGGCAGCGGGCGGCCGGTGCCGCCGTGCCTGCCCCGGCGGCGGCCCGAAAGCATGGGCTGCTCCGCACCCCCCCGAGATGCGCGGGGAAGGACGGCGGGGTTTGGGGATTTTTTTTTCCCCCTCGTATTTCAAGATTATATAATCTCAAATTACATAATGCATTCGCCGGGGGCTGGTTTTGGTTTATGCCCCCGCTGACACAGCCGCTCAGGTGCAGCAGCCCCTAGCGCAGTGCAGCCCGGTGGCGGCTGGAGCGGGGCGTGGGGAGGGCGGCCCGGCTGCCGCCGCCCGCTGCCGAAGGGCGCCGCGGACCCCCCTCGCCCCGCCGCGCTGCTGCTGCCGCAGCGGTTCGGCCCCTGACGCCGGCAGTCCCCGCCGTGGCATCGCGGGAGGAGGGCGGCATCCCGCAGGGAGCCGCTCCGCACCCCCTCGGTGAGGGGGCGACTTCCCGGCGAGTCTCCGAGCAGGTGAAGCTCCGGCTGCGCCCCTGCCTCCGCCGGTGTTCGGTGCACCTCAGCCGTGCTGCAGTTCCGTAGCGGTGTTGGTGACCTAAGGCTGTCCCCTGTTACAGGCACCGAGAAGATACCCCTGGTACCCGAACCTATCTCCCTGACGTGCAGCCTTCCCGCTTCGTCCTCCCAGTCCCCGCTTGCAGCGTTTGCACTGAAAACATGTTCAATGCTTGACGTACCCAGTCCTCCTCTGCCCGAGCTTTCCCCGCAGGGTGCTCGTTTGCCACTGCGCTGGGGTGTGGGAAATCTCTGCACTCATGTTTCGGTATTTATGACAGTCCAGGCCCCGGTCTTGTGTTAGGCTGCACTATATAGGGCATATCACTAATTACATTTTTAGTAGGATGGTATACACTACCACTTACTCATAAGTGTTGAGCTGGGCAGCCACACTAGATATTGCATCTCAAATAGATTTATCCTTGTCCTAAGTCACTCGGTTTTACTAAGAAGCTCTTGTTTTCTAAGAAGAATAGGCACTTGCTCCCGTGCTCCTTGAGTAAAGATATCAGAACATTAGTGGGTACTTTCAGGCATTTGTAAAGAGGAAGTGAAAAGAAAAATATTACAGTGGGGAAAAAAATAACTAACATTAATCATACGTTTGTCATGGCTGTGTCAGTTGCATTTTGATTCCTAGTCCCTTAAATAAACTGTGATACTAAAAAATACAATTCCATCCTTGTCTGACAACGACATGCTTTCCTACTAAGTCAGTCTTCTATAAATCATACTCAGTGGGGAAAAACGGAAATGTAAAGATAGAAGTGACAAGAGACAAGGTGATTTAAATGCTAATAACTATGCCACATTAATAACATACAGCAGAAGTTAAATTGAAAGCAGTTCACTCAGCAAACTGAGTATGACAGGTGCATAGCTACAGTTTGCTTCATACAAGGTCAGCGTGATTCAAGATCCATGTCAGTCTATAAAAAACATCCCCTTGGCTTCGGTGTGCTCTGGAGCAGGATTTAAAAAATCTTACAAGTGAGGGGCTTTCTGTCTGCTTAGGTAGTGGTGACATGGGAGGCATGTTAACATGTGGATGATACGTGTGAACACTTATTTAAGCAACTTTGACAGCATTAGGAACAAGAATATCTTAGAAAATGTGTTTTATTTCATAGCCAAGTAATAGAATTGGCCTTCCAGCAGAGTTGGAGTTATCCCTTGTCTCAGATGGCAGCCTGGGGAGGTGATTAATTGAAAAGGGAGAAATCTAGGCTGCTAGACATCTAGCTCCTTTCAGGAGCAGAAACTGGAAAAATAATTTTTGTACCAGCATTACTTACATGGAATCAGGAAACCTAAGCAGGGACAAAGTTACTCCAGGTCTGAAGGGTTCCTCTTACAGACAAAAGCATAGCGATTTTATTTTCTGGTATATAAGACATGAAGTTTTTTTTTACACTTGTAGGACATTACTGTTGGACTTGTAGGGTTGAAAATACATTGACTTGCTGAGCCAGTCCTCTTTCTGCTTTACAAATTTGTAATAATTTTAATGCCAGGTCTGAATGGAAGCAACATAGAAGAACGCATGTGCCAATAGATAGCTCTGAAAAGGCTACCGAACCTCCTCCTGTGAATGTGTGCTGCAGATAACAGATTTCTAAGAATGATAAGGGAAGAAAAGTTTGCATGAAGTAATATTACCTGCTCTGAACAATACTGTGAAGGAGACAGAAGAACTATAGGTCAAAAGTAAGAGATCACTGTAAAAAATTAGGGAGAGAATAGACCTTGCCTGACCAGGGAAGAGGTGTGTAAGAAATGCCATAAGTCATAAACCCTTTTGATGTGTGGTATTCATACATTTCTTCCTCAAGTGGGGATGATATTTGGAAGCAAAGTGTTCAAAGCAGAGCCTTTTTAACAAACCATTATACTTAGATACCTGAGTTTGAAAAGTGAGAAACAAACATAATCTCACCTTTTTTTTTTTTTAAATTACCTTTAGAGGCTTTTCTGGATGTTGGTAGTTGTAGTCAATAGCAAATAACACTAGGAAATTACCAGACCCTTGGTACCAGCTGTCTCTATAGACTTCTTGCTACCTTAAGAGAAATTTACAGTAAGGCTAAAGAATATTTGCAGAACATAGGTTGAGGCTGTCATCATCGCCCCATAAGATGTTTGCAATGGCAAGTGTGTTTAGTTTAGTTTAGTGTTTAGTTTATAGGAAGTAAAAATGCTGGCAGAATGCTTAAGAACTAATAAGCTCGGCTCCTGCTACGACTTCCAGAACCACTGTAGCCAGTGAAGAGCCTCCTGTTGACCTCTGGACTCTAATCCAATAATGCCTTAGGACAAGGCTATATTACTGCAATCCAGTGAGGTGACCTCATTTGTTCATCTCATAAAATCTCTTAGACAAATACCTGCTTTTTGCCCCTACTAAAAAAGGTCATCCTGATGCATAAGCAGGTAAATTACCAGCATATTAGAGAGATAAACCATTTCTAACTTATTTTCATTAATTCCTTCTGCAGTCCGTTTCCAATTTATTTACAGTGCTACATGGCTTTTATGAAATGAACTACTACATAGCTCTCTTCTTAGAGAAAGGCCTTCAGGAAAATAGTCCCAAGTATTTTGGCTAAATGTTCTTTCTCCACACAAATATGTGTCTCCACACAAATATGTGTCTTGAACTTAACACCATCAGAAGAGATGCTCACTTTTATTCTGCTGTTGGAAGCATTCAACTCTCAGTATGTTACCCTGAGATTCACAATAATTACTGTTGTATTTAGAGCTCAGTTGTTGGAAAGCAAGGTTTGCATTAAAAATTCTGGCTCCCTTGAAAAATGTTGTTGGATGCACTTGCTTGGAAATAAATAAATAAATGGATCCAATGTGATGAGGCACAACACAACCTCAAACAACTCACCCAGCAAATAATAGCACCGCTACCCTGTGGGCTCCAAAATCCGTCACCACCCACACAGTTTCAGAGCTGCTCACATATATAGTGGTGGCCTGACTTGTAATGTCTGTGTGCATTTGCATCAGCATTATTATAGAGGAGGAAAGCTGAGATGTGCATTAGTTCACTAACGTTCCTGGAAGCACAGAATCAACCTTAGGCAGCATTTAATACAATTAGCAAGTGTGGCTGGTAACTGGTAACATCAGAGGATGCTCATGGGGTGGCAAAGGCCAGGCAGAGAGCAATATTTTGATCTCAAGGCCTGTCTGCAGTAGTCCCTTAATTATCAGTGGGAAACACTAGGGTTTTTTTTTTGTTTGGGTGTCTTTTAACTTTCTAGCTAGCCCCTGGATTATTAGTTGCAGTTGCTGTCACTAGCTGTTGGTTGGGCAGTTTAACTTGCCAACATAACTGTTACCTATGCAGACATAACCTTGCTCAGCGGTTTGCACGTCCTTGGAAACTAAAACCGAGTAAGGAGAGCCTTGCTGCTGCTTTCTCCTGGGGTCATTTGGGTGCTTTGGTTCTGCAGAGAAGTTGCCATGTGTTGTTCGTGGTGTAGTGATTGGTGTCAAACACGCGAGCCATAAAGGAAATGCTAAACGTTTTGGATTCCAAATTGTTTTGCAGTAATTGCTTTGAAACAAACTGTTATTTTCTTGTATTTGATTGGGGTTTTTTGGTTAGGTTTTTTTTTTTAACTTAAAAAAAGAAAGTGTTGCCAGAAAAAGAGAACAAGTCATGAATAATGTATCAAAAAGAATTAGTGAGCTTATTGTCTGCCCATGCCATTTGCAAACTTAGTAGGGGGTTAAACATTTTGATTAATGCCTTATGAAGCTTGTTTTGGGGGTAAGTATTATTGTCTGGACGTTCAAAACAAGTAAGGGAGAGTTCACATTCCCAGCTGTTCACCAGGGATTTGGGCCAAGTTGTGTAACCTTCCCATGGCACAGTTTCCCTGCCTTTGAAGTGTGCCTAGACACCTACCTGTATGTAGATGTAGTGAAAATTCATGTGTCAGAAGAGCTCTAAGATGAAAGGTGCTGTACGAGTGCAAAGTACTCCTGTTATTGATGTTGTGGGGGACTTGTTTAAATTGTGTAGGACTTTAATACCATATAAATAAGAAAGCTAACAAAGTCTTGTAATTTGTATAGAACATGACTGTATGTTATTACCACAACCACATTACTAATAGGGTATGCTGATGAAAATGCCCTGTTTGTTTTAAATGAATGTGAACTATGCAGCCTTTTAAATTAAATTTAGATGAAATTGTGGTGAAGAAGCAAACATAAACAGAGTATATTATCAACAGAATTTTTTTTGTTGTTATTATTTTCCTGCAGAATTCACAAGACAAAT